TCGTAACTGTATATTATATCAAATTATTTGGAATGTCCAAGTTGTATATTTGTAGGTTCAAAACAACTTATTTAACAATAGAGTCCATATACAAAGGGTTGAGTATGTTATATCAAAATTATTTGGAATGTCCAAAGCTGCAAGTCACGTGGCAACCACGGCCGATATGAAGTTGCGGTGGAGTGGCATGCATTAAAATTGCACTTTGGCGTTTTGTAGGTAGAGTGATGTCATCGAAAATTGATTGATTTTTAGATAGTTATGTAATGAACTCTGTCCAACGTAAAATATCTATACACTGACACAATAAAGATGTGTTCAGAACGGGGATTTAGAGTTCCTATGAAGGGGATACGTACTTAGTAGTATTAGAAATCATAAGAATATGGATCAACTTGGGGGTTTGGGGGAGGGCAAGGACCACTCAGATAGAGACCTACAAAAACTTGTACTGCAGCCATAGTAAGCAAAGTGTAGCGTCTCTTAACAGGTAGGAATCCACGAACACAATGGTCAGTAGTAGAAGCCTTCCAAACGTCTCAGTCAACAGTATGCAATTTTATCAAGAAGGATCTTTATCTGGAAATGTGGTCAACAGGTTATTGGTTCATCAAAACAAGGTTTCCAGTCATACCTCCCATTCAACCGTCTTAAATATCTCAACATCTGGAGAATGAAAACAGTATTTATGCTATTCCATACGAAGATGTGCCTGTCAAGTCAAGAGACACTGGGAAAAGGTCCAGGAAAACCGTCGTATTCGTGCACTATGTGGATTTTATGGATAACCACCATGGAGAAGTGGTGTGTTTTGGACACTAAAACCTTACGATGGAGTCCTTTGCAATGGAAAATACGCATACAAGGCTATTTTCAAGGTGTGCAGTCATTAGACAAAGCATGACGAAGTTGCAACGTGGACTAAATGACGTGTTGAGGCTTTGAAATTGCTTTTATATAATGTGCACAGCCGCTGTATGTTTTTGGCAAGTTGTAAGTGTTGTTTTCGCTTCTATAGCATTAAAATTACAGCTGTAATTTTTGCCTGTATAGTTATTGTTATTCAATGCACCAAGTACAATTTGAGGATTTACATATAATACTTAAATAAGCAGTTCAATATTTTCTAAGATTTATAAAAATATTATTTAGAATCATAACATAATTAATATTTTAAATTATCTGATATATTATGTATTTGAATTTTTGTTATTCGTCCTTTTTTCACTAGTATAAGCTTTTAACATGTACATTATTATCATATTTTATCCGACTTAAACCTTTTTTAAGAATAGAAGTGGTGGGAGCTAACTCTCGAATTAACTGTTTCTCTTGAGACAGGTTTATCGTTAATATTCAATGTGGACCAGGAATGGCTGATGACGTTGTCTTTCATTTCAATCCCCGTTTTCCTGATGGTGTGGTGGTTCGTAACACCCGTTCAGACGACACATGGGGAGAAGAAGAACGCGATGGGAATATGCCTTTTACTCCAGGAGAATCTTTCGAGTTAGTAATTTGTGCTGCTAGCGATGGGTTTCACACGAGGGTGAATGGACAAGAGTTTATAAAGTTTGATCACCGCCTGGAGATGCACAAGGCATGCACTCTCTATATTGAAGGAGATGTTGCTATAAAAGATGTGTGGATTAACAGCACTCCGGTAAGATTCATTTTGCATCAGACTTGAATGGAGATTTTCGACATACTTTTATGAATCATCATGTTTAAGTTCATGTATTATAAAAAGCTGCACTGCGTTATTAATTAAAAATGTATGGCGGATTACTGTTTGTTTAAGAAACTAGTGATAAACCACAGTAAACGGAACACGCTAACACAACTCTTAAATTAGAGAAACGAGCTTCGACGGAAGAAAACTGGTCAAAGTGACTCCGGAATTCCTAATTCACCTAAGGACATAGGTGGTCAGAAAATTATCAAGCTTCGAGAGATCTCGGGAGGTCTTGGAATTAGGAAGGATTTTGATTCAGCAGCTTTTGACGAGTTTTCTCTTTTTTATGCATTTATCTATTTTGTGTATATTTTGTTCACTTCCCATCCATATGATGACCAGAATTTCTCAAATGAAGAAAAATTATAGTTTGTTTCAATTACTATGCTCCCCAGTGGCACAGCGATATGTCTGCGGACTTACAACGCTAGAATCCGGGTTTCGATACCCGTGGTGGGCAGAGCATAGATAGTCCATTGTGTAGCTTTGTGCTTAATTACAAATAAACAAACAAACTTCACTTACTGAGGTTATTTCACTAGCTTTTTAAATGTTACGATATAGTGCTATCTTATTACAATCTCATGTTTTTTAGCACAAAATTACACAATGTGCTTTTTTCCCTCTGTCTACTGCAGGGAATTGAACCTCAGATTTTAGAATTGTAAGTCTGCAAATTTACTGTTGATCAAGCAGGGTATGTTTAAAGATGTGCATACGAGAAGAATGATGTTGTTCTATCTCATGTTTTTGTGCCAGAGTCCGATAGACGAAATTCCTTGAAATTGTTGATTTCAATATTCACGCAGTGTTGATAATAAACACGTAAATAACACAATATTTATATTGTTAAAAATATTTACACTTCTGCACTTTTGTAAAGTGCGTTTGAGGTATGAAGTTTAAGCAACTTACATCCTGTTCACACAGACCTTAGTTAAGTGAATTTTTAAAAATATTTCTGAACGTATTGGTATTTGAATGAAGCTATTTTTCTAGTTATATAAGGGTAATATCTAGCACCTTTTTACTCATTTCGTTACCTCTGGGCTTTTCTTGATACAAACATTTAAAATTAACTTTAATTGTCCAACATGTTTGTTTGTTTGAAATTAAGCACAAAACTACACAATGGGCTATCTGTGCTCTGCCCACTATGGGTATCGAAACTCGGTTTCTAGCGTCGTAAGACCGCAGATATACCGCTGTGCTTTAAGTTAATCAATTTCTTCAGATAACACGATCATACACTTTTTCATGAACAATAGAAAAACATTATTAACATAAAGGATTCAATAGCGAACAAACTAAGTAAAACAAAAACCACACACTGAAAATAAAACAGAACTAAACTACATTAAAATAAATCAAATGAATGGACGATACCAGAAATTATCATAACTAATTTAAAACAAAATAAAATTATAATTCAGGCTAAACTCAAAGAATAAAATTGATTAATATAAAGAATTAAAAAACAAAAGCAGAATAAACTTAAAATACAAAACTGAAGGTGCCATAGCGAAACCTAAACAAATAAACCCCAAAAAAAATTAAAATACGGAATTAAACCCATAACGTGATAAATAACTCAAACATAAAATTGAATAACATTCAGAATGATTTGAAACATAAAATAAATTTTATACAGAAATGTTTGTTGTTAAACACAGAGCTACATACTGGAATATCTGCACATTCATCAACTTAGGGAATCGAACCCAAGATTTTAGCATTGTAAAAATACGAAAGAAAACAGCCAACTACTAATACGCGTCAATGCACACTTACAAACTAAAGCAGAGCGTTTATAATAAATAAGTTAAAATGAAAGCCACGATAATATGGTATTTATGTTGGTTGTTAGTGTCTTGCTGTTCATCAATGCAAACAAACCATTCACCTGTCTTCATTTTATCACCTTCTTCTCGTGGAGTGTTGTTCGTGTACTGTCAGCATCTTTCTCTTCATTAACTGATCCAAGATTGTACAACAGATTAATGCTATCATTATTCAAGTCGTTCTGCTCATCTGTCTCTGATTTCATGGACAACTGGATGTTAATAGGTACATCAGGAACATAGATTTTCATGGTAGTGTGCATCATGCAACTATTGTTGCTTAAACTTCACCTACTTACTCTGTTGACATATGAAAATATAGAATACTTCAGATAGAATTGGTGCACTGCAGGTGCATATCATACCTATACCTAATTACAAAGTCAAACATTGTTACTCTGCTGTTTTATTGTAAAATCCGTTTTTAATATATAGCCACTTTATCCAACTGTTGACATGCAAACTCACTGATATTAACTATTGAGAGTGCAGCTACTACAGACATCTCCGTCAACACTGCAGTACAACTGTATTTGGAGAAAGATCATACATCATATCCATAAAGTTGTACTTTTTTTTCCAAACATTAAGAGGTTTGCATGAAAACCAGTTGATTGTCGTACAGCCAAATCATCAAATTGAAATGGTATGATGAAGCACATTTACACCGCACCTAGTACTTGAAATGACTCTTCATACAACTGGTTCTTGGAGTTTGCTCCATGATCCACATGTAATTTTCCAGGTGCTCTAAAGTTTACAGTCCACTGTTCATTTAATATGTCGGCAACAGTCGTGCTATAGGTTTGACCAGTCGAGAAAGTTTGGTGAAGTAATCAATAATAACAGATTCCCTTTCTCTATGTTAGACAGAGGACTGGCTCTATCCAGTGTGGTTATCTGCTAAACCTTTCATCTAAGGCAGTTTTGCTTTTTAGACAAAACATGTGGTACCAGCATTTACTCTCAACATCGTTATGTGAATGCAGCCAGAAAAATGTACTTTTGAATATTCTTTAATAGTGCATGATTTCCCCCGGTATAAACCCGTCTTTTCTTTGCATCATGTTCTGTGGATTGCCAGCTGCATCACAAGCTGACTACCGCAAGTCTTTGACTCATAAATGGATATTGAAATTCATCAGGCAATGTACTGATTCACTCAACTAATGAATCTTCTACAGTGTGAGTATCGGTGATAATATTTAACGAAAACCACAATGGTAAGCACTTCCTTTTTTGTAGAGTTGTGCCATTTAGAGCTCTTAAACAATTCATACCACTGAAAGTATCATTCCAATTCCATTTTCAGTAGTGTAAATATCTAAAAGAGTTCATTGTCTTGACAAAGATTCAACAATTGTGCCTCGACCAAAGCACTTTAGGAACTGGAATGTTTGATCAAACTTGTATGTCCATCTAAAGTTCTTGTCAACCTTATTCAATACATATAATGGTGTGGCTATTTTGGAGAAAATGGTCACAAATTATCAGTACTTCCACAGAAAGAATAGAAAGTTGTGAACTTTTCATTTGATTTTAGGCTTAAGTCAGTATTTCACTACCGTGAGCTTTACAGGATCAGGGAACATTCTGTTCTTATATTGTTTGAGATCAAGAAATGTTTTTTTCCTCGTGCATTAACACATACTTTCCTTATATAAAATATTAATAGGGCAACATTGTGCAATGAACATTATTTAAACATATAGGCAAAACAACGTTTATAATACACAATAAAAAATTAAAAACGACTCTACACGTTTCGGTAGCTTCCGCTACGATCATCAGGAGTGAAAATCTAAATAAACAGCGGTTATTTATATAAGAATGGTTGGACTTACTCTAATTCCCCGGGGTGACATGAATACTACACATGTGAAGTCAATATTTTCCTCCAAAAGTCAGCACTATCACCAACCAACCCTTCATCTCTATCTAACAAATTATTATGTAATTTACATTTATAACACATAACTTCAATATATTATCTAATATCAAATTCATTTACTGTATAGGGTTAATTTAAAATTATTGTTTTATGCCACTGTACTGGGTGACTTGTTTCTGCAACACGATCGGCCAGTAGAGAAATCAACATTTTTTTTTATTACGTACATAACCTTTATGTTCATTAATACGGTATTTCAAATTACGTCCAGTTTGACCAATATATTTTTTTGTTACGTTCACATCTAATTTGACATATTCTTTTTTGTAGAATATTTTTTTTGTCTTTAGTGCTAGGAAGTATTGTTTTAATTTTATTAAGCAGCTTTAAAATGGGAAAAAATATGTTTTCTAAATACGTTGGCAACTTGACTAGTTATACCGTTTACATATGTTAATATCACTATACTGTTTCTTTTCTTATCATAAACACTGTTTAATCTAGTGCATTGTTTAATTAAATTTGAATTGTATTTTTCTTTGTATTAAACGTTCAATTATATCAACAGTATAACTTCTATCATTAGCAATGACTTTTATATTGCCCCCCCCCCCAGTATATCTGCGGACTTACAACGCTAGAATCCGGGGTTTCGATACCCGTGGTGGGTAGAACAAAGATAGCCCATTGTATAGCTTTGTGCTTAATTACAAACAAACTTTTATATAGTTTAATTCATTTCTTAAATCAATGGGATCGGAACAAATCTTAAATGCTCTTTCACCCTTTTTCTCAAATTTATCAGCTTTTCATACTTACACAAACAGACCGAAGATCCGGTGCAGTATTCTAACAGTACCTGATTGCTTGCATCTGTGATCGCTCTTATTATGCGTATTTTTAAGGAGAGATTAACTCTTAACTCATACTAACTTGTACAAACCTCTACACCACCCCTTTAGTTGGTTTTGATATATATTCTCTGGGAGAATATATATATACGCACTTTTGGCAAATCGAGTACAAGTTCTTGTAAATATCCGCTGTAGGATGTAACTTTAGCCCCCGCGAGGATGAACGTAAGTTTACGATTAAGCACAAAGTATCTGGACGAAAGGTTTTTTTAAAATGTTTTAGAATATACCAGAAGGAATACACATTCAGTTTCTGGTTATAAACAGGTAAATCACAGCAGTTTTTAACTGCTACACTAATAAGCTCAAAACTATGATAGTTAACAGTCGAGTTGGGTAAAGTATGAGTAAATGTTTTCAAACTTCTTTGTATGAGAAACGATAATAGATCAGTTTGAATTATTTCAACTAGTCCATTGTATGGCTTTGTGCTTAATTAACAACAACCAAACCTTTGCTTAGTTGCACGAACCAGTTTTAATATTTTAAGATATTCCATGACAGTTATGGATCAAGAGTCGGGCGTAACATAGCGGTTGACATACTCATACTGTGAATCCGTGAGTTAGTGGCTATTGACCAATTATCAGAAAAGTGTGCTACGATTGATATATGAATGATAATCAAATCCCAAATTTGATCAAACACGAGTAGCTCAGAGCAGACGATAGGTAGTTTTTACTAACATGCCTTCCTTTTAATTTATCAGTTCAGTAGAAGGGACGATTATGCTCAAATAGCCTTTTGAGTATTTTAGAGCGAAAGTTCTGAAATAAACAAACAAAAAGTTATTGATTAAAATGCATTTGCATTGTGGAATGATGATACCATGTAATACACTAAAATCGGACTTAATTATTTCTCAATAAACGTCACTCCCATATATTACCGTTTTCTAAAGTGTTATTCAGACCGAAAAATAGAATACTCGAACTCAACGTAAATTTCCAGAATGCTTGGAAAATCTAAATATTATAATAGTATTTTGATAGATATATTCTGATACGTCGATACGTTAATTAAGGTTAAGTATGATCTTACAGCTGTGATTATAATCAAGTTTTTCACCTTTTAATACCGTAAAGAACAATTAACAATGCAGTGCAAGTTTATATAGAAATATCTGTTTACTAATATTTTAGATTTGACTAGAATTTCCATAATCATTACGTTGATTTCCTATTTTTTTCGAATTAGACCAAGTTACCTCCTGAATTTGATGATGATACCCCACGTGACCTTCAAAGGAGTTCCTTACAGCAGTTTTTTTCTCTGGTATGATCCCACAGATTTATAGTCTGAGATTTACAGTCTGCTACAGTAATGAATAGATATAAAGTAATGTTTATTAAGTAATAAAAAATGTAACGTGTGATGTTTATATATTTAAAAATGCTTTATTGTTTATTTTTAATTTTTTTTAGCAAAAGTCATTAAGGAGTAAGCAACTAATATGATATTATGTTAAAGTCACCTTCTTGTAGACATTTACGTAATTTTGTGGTACTACTTAGAGAGGAATGTTGGAAATACCTTTTACAATAAAATCTATATTAAAGTAAAGTTGTAATATTTATTTTTCATTATAAATTAAATATCGTACAGCTCAGTGGTGTAACATGATTCGGATAAGCTTAGTTTTCAAAAAATTTTAAAACGTAGAAATAAAAGAGTAAAATAAAACTAATTTTGTCTTGCGTGGGACTGACTTTTGATTATTTTCTTTTTTCTTTACTATTATGTAGAATGACTCTGCCGTTTGTCGCATCTCTAACGGATTTTGTCCTGGCTCCATCTTAGTTATTTCTGGTGCTGTGGTTAAAGAACCTTCTCGGTAAATACTTAAATTATTGTATTGTATAGATAATAATCAATTGTACATGTTAACTTTACAAGGTGATATTCTGTAAAAAAGAACTTTGAGTATCATACACTTGACGTAATTAGATCGTACGATATTTGTTTTAACCTTTAACTTTTATTTCTTAAATGAAGTTACATGTGAACAACGAAAATTAACATATTGGTTGAAATAATCAATTGACTTGGAGTAATTCAGACAAACCTGAACTTTAACAGTTATTCCACCGTACTGTAGATTAATTAAGTGTGTTCCTGTGTGGGAGGTTACTGCTGTTTATTAACTATTGGGCTTTAGTTACTCATAGTTAACGTATTGTTGGAACATAATAAGTATCTCTTCGAATCTCCTCAATCCTCTTGGCATCACAAAATACCCAGAATAAATGTTACTATTGGGTTTTCTCAAACAAAGGGCTTGGCATGGACTGATGGCTGAATTTTAGCCTAGATAGCTCTTGAGTAGTTTGCGCAAAATTCAACAAACAAACAAAAATCCAACAAGGAAATGGATTTCTAAATTTTGATAGTAATTATGTAAAGACGGAACAACAGTTTTAAAATGACCCCCAAGTGACTTTACGCTTAACAACAAACAAAAAAATAGTTAAAGTACTTGCTTTTACCTAATTTTGTTTGTTTGTTTGGAATTAAGCACAAAGATACACAATGGGCTATCTGTGCTCTGCCCACCACGGGTATCGAAACCCGGTTTCTAGCGTTGTAAGTCCGCAGACATACCGATGTGCCACTGGGGGGCGCTTTTACCTAAATGAAACAAGTAATACACAGTTAGACATTTCCTCTGGTTTTTGTACAAACTGGTAGTTTTTTGTAATTTTGTTTCAAACTTACATGCCCGATATTTTTATGAGAAAAAACAAACAGAATAATCAACAGAGTAATGGAAAAAAATATTTTGTAACAATAAAACGTGTATTAAATGATACACATTGAAGAGGCGAGATTACAGGCTTATATCATCCTTCAGTTGATATAGTAGAAATGAGTGAAGTATATAATGTGTGGAAAAATTCATTGATTTATTTATTGTGGTATTACTTTGATTTAAACTACTATTGTATATAGTAATAAAAGTATGAAAATTCTCATAAATGTTTCAATGTTTTTACTATATGTTAATAAATTTGTAAGATGAACAGAAGAGGGTTTGAAATCGTTGGCTGTGATATTTCAGTTGAATACAACGATTCTAGGATTACGTAAAAATTAAAATTAAGATAAAACTGTATGAAGAAAATGACAACTGTGAAAAGTTTTGGAAAAGAAGTTGAAAAGATTAGGGAAATTATATTTTCAAAAATGAGGAAATAGTAGACTACTGGTGCAAGTAAAGAATAGTTGATAACAATCACCTAAAAATTTAGACTTTATCTTTACATATTATAATAGACTGTCATAATAAGAGTAATAATTTTAAGGTGTTTTACTCCGATATACATCATTTGAAGAAATAATACAAATATTATTTTACGCAAGCTGAAATACCCATCAAATGTACGGAGTTCCTCTTTTACTTCTTTTTTTGTTATTACAATTATGTTTAGGTGTGGAAGTAGATGTTACATTTCTTTATTTTAATCACGCAACCTCTAAGAACTTTTGATTTGCTAGGTCTCAATGACGTTGTTACGTCTCTGGTCGTTTGTTAATTTCCTGTATAATTTCTTTCGGATGAAATTTTAGCGATACAAGTCATTTCTTAAATAAAACTAGTTTATTCTTTCTCATTTCAACTTTGCAATACATTTAATTTCCACAGTCCCTTTAACTTAAATACACGTTATATTTCACAACGATTCACGCACTCTACTTACGGTCACTACCGCGCTTGACTCAATTGTCCTTCTCTGTCTCTGCCTGTCTGCAATTATCCATGCCGTCACTTCTTGCCGGTCTTATATATACAAAATAGAGGGCGTCTGGCAAACACTCGAGCCTTCAGGAACCTTCTAGATACTCATTAGGTGTTACCGGGTCTTATATATACAAAATAGAGGGCGTCTGGCAAACACTCGAGCCTTCAGGAATCTTCTAGATACTCATTAGGTGTTACCGGGTCTTATATATACAAAATAGAGGGCGTCTGGCAAACACTCGAGCCTTCAGGAATCTTCTAGATACTCATTACGTGTTACCATGGTCACGTGACTTCCGCTGTCGTAACAACGTAATACAACACTTGTAGCGATATTTTGCTTATGATTGTAATCTGTTACCTTCTTTCAGACAATACCAAGCGCTCTTGGTCTATTGCAAAGAAAGATATTGTGCCTGAAAATTATGTTTCTGGAAATGATTACTTTTATTCTCTTCTTAGGTTTTCAGTGAACCTGCAATGTGACAGTTGTGAAGATGCTGATATCCTATATCATTTCAATCCTCGCTGGGACGATCCCGAAGGAGAAGTGGTTGTGCAGAACTCTCGAGATGAAGGAGTGTGGGGGGAGGAGATACGGACAAGCGAAAAGTTTCCTTTTTTCCCCGAAAGTAATTTTGATATTCAGATTTTTTGCCAAGCGGATAACTATCGCGTTGCTGTAAATGGTGTATCCTACGTCGAGTTCCCGCATCGGCTGGATCTGTCTCGCGGGGACCACGTTCTGGTGCACGGGGATGTTCACATCCAACGTGTATTGTTACTCTAAAAGTTGTCGTTCTATCCATTGATACAACGTGCATCTGTTCGCCTTATTTTATTATAGAGATATTTTGTGAGTTCAGGACAACAAAGTATGGACAGATTTTTTGCAACATTATTTTCGTTTGCTTTGTAATCTTTAACTTTCGATTAACCCAATAAAAAGGTGGCGCTAATCAATGTGGTACTAGTCAGCAAAGACACTTTGAAGTTCTGAGCATGTTTTTTTTTCATTTGATTTTGGTGTATACTTAACAGTGTGAGCATTCACTCACTAACTGAGGCGAAAATACTTCGTGTTTTATGCTTTCTTTTAATTAATAATATTAGATTTTAAACTAGACCATCTAATATCCCGACAGTTGCATAGTTGAATGGATTTAGCTTGGTTATAGAACGTATACAGATACCTAATGTCGTTAATTGCTCAGCTGTTATCTGATGTACGTCTGCTAAGATTGAATTTTTCTCAACGTTAGATTCTCTTGAGTTGAACATTATCAAACCCTCGCTTATTATTAATTGGGAAATTAAATTAGTTTGAAATTCGCTGATATACATACGATTAATATGTTTTTTTCGAGAAGTCAGTTTGTGAATAAATTTAATATGAATCATTCATAAGATTTAGCCGTGTCTAGAAAAATAGATTCTTACAATTACTGCATATATACAATATATAATTATATGTTACACTTTACCTGAATAGAAATAATGTAATTAAAATAAACAGAATTGAAAATATCGTTCTCATAGTAGCTTTGATTTGATGATTATTAGTCAGAACATCTGATGATTGAAGTAATTTTGTTATATCAATGTTACACACAATATAAATTAGTTACACATTACCTGTTAATTTTCATTTCTGATGTGTTGTTGCAATATGTTTGGCAGCAGAAACTTATTGTTAAAAAAGCAAGTCGTGTAGTAATTCAAGGTTACAATTTCTCAATTTCGACAAAACAAGAGGTTCGTGAATGTAATGGGCTAAAAGACTAATGTAACAGTGTGTTGTATGTGTAATAAAATGGACAAGACTCAGTGTGAACTTGGAAATAAAACACTTTATTGCTGCCTGTTTGCTAACAGAAAGAAAACTCTAATAAAGCTATTAGTAATACAATATGTTACAAAGTACTAAAGTTAAAATGTGAAATATACAATGTAGTTAAACTGTGCATATATGGGCAAACTATACGATTTGTACTTAATAAAAAACAGACAAACACACGGTAGTAATACATCTTTGTTGATGGTACTTGCATTAAAATTTACGAATATAGAATACATTAATTTATTTAAATAATTACAGTAATGTATGATGAAACTAAATTTATTTTGAGCCCACAGAAATTGCAAAAATATTTCTTAAGTAAAATAAAGATAAGGTCATTAATGGTGAAGCATACAGATAAATTAGACCATTAAGTTCTCCAAATTCTGGACTCCTCTTAAAGTGTTTGAAAAGAAGAAATATACTCTCAAAATAAATTTGTTCAACAAACCTTAAATTTGCCAGTTGTATTGGGATTTAGAAAATACTCCTAACCATTTTATATTGTGTTCTCGTACACTAATATTCCTTTGCACGAAATAATTTCGAATACCAGCATTTTTTTTGTTCAAAATGATACAATTGTATAATGGTTACGAAAAGCGGTTTTTATTGAGTTATTAAATTTTTATACTAAAAATATCAATTCACTTTTGACAACACCATTCATGATCAAATAGTTTGGTGTTGTTATGAGCTCAAAATTTGCACCTAATCTAGCAACGTTTTTGTGTTACCCTAAAAAACAGATTGTTTTAATCATGTTAGATACCGGAGGTATGTTGATGATACGTTTCTTATTTATCAAAGAATCTGTGAGCACGTATGGTATTCCACTTTTCCTGTCTGCTGACATGTGACGTGGGTGATAACCATTTCACACATTCTTGTGGACATCCCATCAATTCCACAGCTAGTGGTGACCATACATGAGATCCACTGGAATCCCAACTTCATGCAAGACCACTAACGTTTTTGGATAACAACCATTAGCTTGCTGCTCTGTTGTGCAGTATGCCATTATTACATATGGCAAATAATCATGACAGTCAACTTCATCCAAGGTCATAAAATTACAAAGCATACACTTCACAATTTGTCCATGCTTCTTGACCGAATCACCTGAGGGACGATAATGGAGAACATTACGAGCCTTCAACACTCCCAGTATGTATGTCCTTTCTTAGATTAGTGTGGACTTTCTCTGGTGCTCAATATGTTTATTGTTCAGTTCACTCAGTGAAACAATTTATAACACCAGGATTTAATGTTCACCCTGGTCAATTTTAAGAATGGTTCGGTGATATACATGGTCATTCTATGGAATGGATAACTTACAACTTACGGACGGAGATTCCCTCGTGCAGATGGCTCTTTCTCATAGTCGCACAGGAATCACAATATTGTACACAATTGTTGTAGGAATGTGTCCAATAAAACCATTTTCACGAGCTAGCTGAAGTGCGAGAGACTCCTGGTGTTTTTCAATACATGTGTCATACAATGTTTGAAGAATTTCGTCTCTCACAGCTCTTGGAACTACTAGTTACATAACAGGACAAGCACTCCCCTTGTGTGGCCTATAGCAGCATTACAGCGTCCACATCATATCTACCTCTATTTATCATACAATTGCCAGAGGGCATGTTCTTCTATTCTAAATTCACTGAAGGCTGAGCTTCATCTTTTTCCATTGCAAGGTCCACCTAAGCTAGGTTCATGTTGGTTATCTGGTAATGGTATCTCCTCTTGCGGCCAGTTGAACAAACAACAGTTTCGGGTAGTGTTTGGTTTGTTTTGAATTTCGCCCAACTCTACACGAAAGCTATCTGCTGTAGCCGTCCCTAATTTAGTAGTGATAGACTAGAGGGAAGGCAACTAGTCAACACCACCTACCACCAACTCTTGGGCTACCCCTTTTACCAACGAATAGTAGAATTGACTGTAACATTGTAACGCTTCCACGGCTGAAAGAGCGAGTATTTTTTTTTGTAACGAGGATTCACATCTGCGACCCTCAGAATGTAGGTCAAACACCCTAATTGCCATGCCAGGCCGGGGCAAAGCGTTAATACTTCTTTTGTAGCGAGAGATCTCGTATTCATGGTGTGTCACATGAGGACCGTGATGTCAAACAACACTTTTTATTATTGTTGCCATGCCTCTGTCAATTTAAGGCAGGTTGGCAGAGTTGGTGGCTGACTGTGGTGACTGTCTCAATTAGTCTCAGTGATTGGCCACACCTTTTTGTCGGCTTTTCACATGTGCCTTGAGCTTAGCTGATTTGCTCGAGAGCAACTGATTTGACCCGCAGTACCTGGTAGTTCAAGCCACAGTTCAACTTTTTAGGGGGTTGAATTGGACATAATGCTCTGGAATGCCTTTGGCAGTCCAGGGACAGTTGGTAGTTAGGAGAGGACTCTTCTAGTTTTATCAGGGCTCCTCTATTCTCAACCTCAAATCAATTTGTCTTTCCTACTCTCAGATAAAGTTCCCTACAATATGTAGAAGCATCTGTTGTTAAAAGGATAAGAGAAAAACATCACTGAAAGGAATCGAAGACACTATCACGTCTGCAACAATTACAGCATAGTCACTGCCACCAAAATCTGTTCGATCGAGGTTGTCTATGATACGACAAAGTTATACTTGGCTCAAAATCATCCAGTCTCAAGAAAACAAGAAATTCTTGGATCTAATTGAAAAAGCCATGTAGTACAAAGAAAAGAAAGTAGTTCCGGTCTACGTAATGCATCATCCAATGATTGGACACAGTGTACTGATTATAATCATAATAGATTATCATTAAACATTTTCTTTATGCAACTAAACCATTTATCTCAGACAACACTGTAAGTGGATTTTTGACAAAAATCTTATAGTTTTGAAACTTTTATTATGACAAAATAAAAGCAAAAACAATCCTAAAACAACGTTAATAACGATTAGTAATTTCAAACCATAAGATAAGAAATTGTATCAAAATATTTTTCTTGGTTTCTACATTTAAAGCGAAACGATATTTTTCATTGGTAAATTTTACATATGACAACAATGAAAACATCCCACAAAATGACGTTTTTCTGTTCATTCCATAATACTTTGTGATTTTGGGTAACTAACTTGAATTAATTTTCTATATTAAGTTCGTAGATATTTTAGAAATATCTAAAGAAATGTGTGTACACTATCGAACATTCTCCTCCCTGTATTTTACGGGATGTTAGGGCGTTCGACTCGCAATCTGTGTGTCGCGGATTCGAATTCTCGTCATTCCGAGCATGCTCGCCCATTCAGCCATGGGGGTGTTATAATTTGACAGTCAATCCCACTATTCATTGTTGAAAGATTAACCCGAGAGTTAGCGGGGAGTGATGTTGACTAGCTGCCTTCCCTCTAGTCTTTCACTGCTAAATTAGGGATGGCTAGCGCAGACAGTCCTCGTGTAGCTTTATGCGAAATTCCAAAGAAATCAAACTGTATTCTATGAATATTCATCTCCTACATTAATTGTCTACATACAAAGTCTCTGTTACTATGGTAGCTCACTACCAGTGTTGGGCACGTTACTAGAAAACAGAAATGATGTTATTTTGGTCGTTATTTGCTAAAAATAGTCGTTACTCAAAACTTACTTATTTAAAAATGTAACGAGTCACGGCTCGTTATCTTTCAAATAGATACCTGTATATAAAACATGCACTGTGTACATCGTATATTATATTCTATTTATGTATACAGAACTGAACTACAAGCATTAAACTCAAAACAAAAAATGCATTATACATTGAGAGGTTTTAGAATATCAATTAAAAGGGACTACTTTTATTTTTCCTTTATAATATCCAAAGTAAGAGCAACGTATGACTTACACAGTACAAGATAAATAAATACAAATAACTACGAGAACTAATAAGTAGCCTATCAATTAGTGAAATAGTCGAACAAAGTTTACTTCATGTAATAACTGCAGTGTTAAAATGATTATTTTGAGAGGCCAATATCACTTTTACATTTCAAGAAAACAGATCTTTCAAAGCTTGCATCAAACATTCCTCTGCTTTTCGTCTTCAGCAAATCTTTTTCAACTGAAAAAACCCTCTCAACTGCGGCACTTGATCTAATAGCTGTATCTAATGAAATTAAAACTGACTTTAGGACTGCGTCTAGAAATACATCATTGTGAACAGACTTTACAAGAGATTTAACTAGAAAAGCACCAACTACTTGAGCACTCTTTGTTGAGTACTTTTTGCCTCCTTTGTTTACACACATCTGAAATAATCGTTTTCATCTTTTTTTTCTGTCGCACTATCTTGATTAGGTGGTTCTGTACCGTATTATGCTGTGTGTTCTTCTATCTTTAGGATCTTCTGTTGTCGAACTTGTTCTTTCCGATTTTCTGGAAACCAAGAGAGCTAGAAGGCCTAGGATATACACAAAAAGAATTGAATCGTCATCATTGAACACGTTGTCAAACCTAGTTTCTATGTTTCGAATTAATACTTCAACTAGGGGTTTACAAATTTACAACCATTTATTGTTCAAATCGCTCAATCTGGCTGGATAAACATACAAGGTAGGAATCAGTAGTCCCATAAATGCTTTGTTCTTACATTGAAAGATGTCAAGATGAGAATGTGGCTTTATTGATTGAATTTACTTCCAGCAGGCCGACCTTAGTACTAGCTAGTATGGAGACTTTAGGATGCAGTATTTCACTTAAAATTTATCAATTAACAAACGAAAACTTGTTTCGCAAAGATACGTCCAAAAACACCTTCTTTGGGAGTTTTAGGATAGGACTTACTTTTAATATTCAACCAATTGTAGTGTAAAGACACCCCTTGGCTCCTAAGGGACGTGTTAAAGATTAACTACTGTAAATATGATGACAATTTAATAAAATATCAACATCCCTAAGTCATGCGCGAAAAAGAAACATCCATCGTTGTATACTTTAAAAAAATGTGAAAATATTAAAAACTAAAAAAAACAAAGATTGTTATTCAATTCTCTGTTTCTGCAACTCCAACAGTCAGCAGTTGTAGTGACAGTCTTGACTACCGCTATTTGGAAATTGAGAAGGCTAATTTTTTTCCTCATAGGCGTCGTTCATCTGCCTCATTAATGTTGGTCGAGAAATGACTGTTCTTGTTAGTTGTGATGATGTGATTAAATTTCTAAAGGGTATGGACTAGACAGCTCCAAATGACAAAAACTCTAAAACCACGAAGTCCAATATTAGCGCATTCAGCTTTTGTCGAGGCACTTGGGAGCTTTTCCAAAACATTAGAAGCTGTTGTTTTTTCTACTGATGATCAACTGTAAGCTATTTAGACGTGCTGTCATTACCTTTATTTGCTTTGACTGTTCGTTTGTTTTCTGCCGCATCTTGTTTTACTATAGACGCAAATTTCTTAGCAACGGAGAAATGTTTTATGGACACATGTTGTTTTAAGAGTTACTGTTCGCACTGAATGTTTTCTTTAAAGAAAAGCAAACAACCATTCCTGCGATAAGTTGTCACCACTACTTCTACCATTACAATTTATTGAGATACGGCCACGGATTACGTAGAGTTTCGCTCGAACTGCTATCACTTTCGTATAACATAGTGCTACACCCCTAACCTCCCAGCCCGACATGGCCAGGTGATTAGAGCGCTCGACTCGCAATCTGCGGGTCGCGGGTTCGAATCCCCATTCCACCAAACAAGCTCGCCCTTTCAGCCGTGAGGGCATTATAATGTGACGATCAATCCAACTATTCGTTGGCAAAAGTGTTGGCGGTGGGTGGTGATGACTAGCTGCATTCCCTCTAGTCTTACACCGCTAAATTAGGAACGGCTAGCGCAGATAGCCCTCGTGTAGCTTTGCGCGAAATTAAAAAAAAACAAAAACAAACAAACCTAACCTCCCACTCTAATAACTTACAGAAAAATACACACCAAAGTCATCATTGATTAGTGTGACAGCCATCACTACAAGTATAAAAATTTACAACTCAACTAAAACATGCTACAACAGGATAAAACATATTTCAGCAGAACTACTTCATTCCTCTCCTGTTGTTCCAATATTACTGCTATATAAAAAGTATGTTATTTATTGATATTTTTATTAATTATTGCTATTGTTTTATCCAGATAATTTGAGCTACTAATTGTTATTTTATATTTTAAGTATATTAATAGGCAACAATATTACTGAATTTAAAAGGTAACGATGAATACGCTGTTTTGACAGTAAAAATTTGACGACATTACCGAAAACATTATTAAATTTGAAATGAAAAGTAGTGTTGTTAACTTGGACGTGAATAAAAAAGTAACGTCGCTATGAATAACAACGTTACTGCCCAAGAGTCACTACTTATTTTAAACATTAATTTTTAAATTGCAGTTACAATTGTCATTATCGTAATTTATTGCTGTAAAAATGTAACAAACTGTTAAGTAAAGATTGCAACAAATTACAGGTATTCCACAATATATATACTTGCACTTATGTTTGTTTGTAATTAAGCACAAAGCTACACAATGGGCTATCTGTGCTCTGCCCACCACGGGTATCGAAACCCGGAATCTAGCGTTGTAAGTCCGCAGACATGCTGCTGTGCCACGTGGGGGGGGGGGGGCTATTTATGAAAGAATGTCGAAGAAAAACCAGCTCAGAAACACTTCTCAAATCAAATAGGAATCAGCACGTGATTCGCACGTGGTGATGAGAACGTGACCTTCAATGTAGTGATAAGACGTTGCTTTTAGTTTTATATAAGAGATCGTATATTTGGTGTGATAGCAATTCAACCAAAAAGAAATTATTGTGAGATCACTGTCGAAAATATTGTATGTAAACTTGTCTTGTTGGACTACGAAACTAACTCCACAACAAAATATATTTAATAATCTCTTCACTAACTGGTAGGGAATGCCGAAACTAAAGCATATGTTCCAGACTAGACACCATGCTGAACTGTATGCCAGGTTTAGACCTCAACCACCAAAAGAGCTGATTGATAAAATCGTCACGTACCTATCAGAAAAGGTCAGATATTTTGTAACTATTACATGTTTTTTTTTTCCCAAAATTGTGCGATATTAAATAACAAAGTATGTTAGTGTTTTTCAGATTATTAGGTTCAGTCCTAAAATGGGCATGTTTTTCAATTAACTAGACATGTTGTGTAATTACAAACGAAATTTTGGAGCATTAGCAATTAAAATATGTATTAGATGAAGCTTTCAAGTTTCAGTATAATGTTAACATTTTATGACGAGGAACCTACATTGAGATTATGTTTGAAGACTGCTTAAAATGTTAAGTGGGTAATGAAGAAACCTTTATTACAAGTTTAACATAGTAACAAATGTAAGTTTATTATGTTAAATTTTTATGTTACATTGATGCTATATATATCTAGTTACCGCTACTGTCTCTGGGTAACGAACAAAATCTTTTTATATATATATAATACAGCTCGAAAGGCCGTTCAACGCCGCATTGGATGTTGGTTGTGGATCTGGGCAGAACACTCGCCTTCTTGCGCCCTTTTTTCTTCACGTGACTGGAACCGACATCAGCAGCGCTCAGCTTGAAATTGCTGCCAAGGATTGTGATTCTTCAAACATAAAATATCAGTAATGATTGCTTTTAATGTAAATGTTCAAGATACGTCCTGGGTATACAATTTAAAATGAGTCCTTCACAAAATTTGCACTTACTTACAATACTGAATTCTACAGTTGATATAAATAGGCCTGAAACAGGAGAGTTAAGCTTCGAAACAGGGGTGATGGGCAGGGGATAGCCGTACACGTGCCTTATTCAGATTTGTGCGACAGCCCATTATAAATATAATTTCCTTCGATATTTCAAGAAATAATAAAATAAGTTCAACAAACGCATCCCTAACACAAATATAATTCTACGCACCTGACTTAGCCACGTTTTCGCGACAAAGTAATAGGTCTAAAACACTTAAACCTCAATATTATATACTACACTGTTTGACACGATTCTCACCTGACAGTAATACAGCATACTTTTATCATTTCACGCCCGCTAATGATGTATAATGCAATTATTCGTTTTGTACAATTTGCTAACAATGAAAAAATGTCACTCTTTCCACAGGCTGTGGCCAAATTGACAAAGTTTCTGCTTGACTTCGACAGGCTCGCTTCTGGCAATCTTTATTCCTTACCAGCATGTGTCTCATTCACAAGTTCAATGCATTGAATTGACAACAAAATGAGGCTGTCCTTGCATTAACGTGCAAACGTGGGATCGTTCAAAATGAAAAAAACGAAGTGTATTATGTTGTAGAACGGAAGACTGTGACATCTATGTCTGAAATAGGTCGTAAGTTTTTCTGGAAGGTTATGTGAATCATTTTATGTTAATTAAGAGTAAGATTCCAAGTTTGAAGTAACAATTTCGTGAGGATAGCGGATAGTTCTAGTCCTAGTAGTGGTAGTATTTGTATTTCTTTAACTAATTTTTTTCCCAGGAATATATTCAAGTACATTCTCAGTAACATTGAGAACAGTAAATACTTAGTGCACGTAGTCTATAGTTGTTATGTATCAGAGACGGGATCTCGGAACCAAGTCTTGGTTTAGATATCAGCCTTGAGATTAATTACGACATTTCAAGTTCTTTCTTGGTTTTAAAACTGTCTCTTGTGGAAGCTGTAAATAACTTTACACGCCAATTTGTGTTTGTGAAAACAGTCCGTCTTACAGCAACATGATTTATTTCATGGCTAGTGTTCTGGATCTAATCTACGGTTTTGTTTGGTAGGAAGATGATCATCCAGGATTGGAAGATGTGAAATCTGCCTTAATTTAAGGAATGACATCATTAATGCTATTTAGAAAGAAGCAAATAGTATTTCTAACACATAGTCAATTGCACTTTTGTACAACAGACTTATAGTGAAGACATCCAGCCTTTGCAAAAAGTGCTCTATTCAGTTCTTTTTGAATATATTCATATGCAAAGCACTGGCATCAGTCCTAAGGACTCAGTTATAAGCCTACAACGGTCTTTGAAAATGCTTCTATCACTATTAGGACAACAAAATTCTTGGAGAAGTTTGAAAGAAAGTGCTGTTTTTTTCTAAACTTTGTCTATTCTACAAGAAAATATTCTGCATCCCTTTAACATAGGTGGTAGTAGAGAGAGGGTTTTCAGCCATGTGGGGGGGGATTCAGTTAACAAAATTAAATCCATTTCAGTTAAACTAAAAATCCTGTCATTAGTAAATGTTTGCTGTGCATTGATCTTTAGTCATCTGTTAGTGTTAAAATTAACTTTTCTTATTGACTAAATTATCCAAATAAAAATATATCAATTGGATATTGTTATCAAGAAATCCATTTAATTCATGCTAAGTATTAACCAAATGCCAATTTGAAATATGATTCCCTCTCGGTTGCATTTTGTTACTTCAACCTCATTGAAAATAGGTTTATTTGTTGCAAATTGTTCATTCAATGTCAATAATGATTACCTAAATATGATATACATATGCAATTGCATATCAACTGAGTATCTATGCCATACAATTTAAAGCATTACCAAAATTATTGTTCTAAATTTCTTTGTAGTCTGTATGCCTGAGTGGAACTGTGATAATGTTAACAGTTCTAGAAATTATTGTTGTGGGTGTCTATACTGAAATGAATAGCTTATTATTTTTATTGGGAAATGTATAGTCATATCTGTCAACTGATTAGATCTATTTATAAACTAGGTTTGAACACCTAGTGAAAGGCTTTAATTGTGTATTTGTCTGGAAAGTAGAATATTGACAATGCAAGTCTGATAGGATGTGCATTTTAAAATAAATCAAGTGTCCATCAGAAGATTCTGTTTCACTGTGCCGTTATCTAGTTTGAACAGAAAAATTAGTCTGATCTTTTTTAAAGAAAAAACATGAATTTTACAATCAAATTTAGGCATAGCTTAGGCTGACTGTTGCATCCTGGTGTGAGTTTTATTTTGTTCTTATGGTGTCTGTTGTTACATTGTCAGTCTTAATTACACTAAAGTATCGAGCAGTGTGTTATACTTTGTTCACAGTGGGAGCCTCGTTTTGACTTCAGGATGGTGGATTCATGAAATAAGCAAATTGTCCACCATACATACATATATACTGTTAGGTATCTGCTTGTTTGTTAATTTCCCGTAGAAATTATTTCCGAGAAACTTCAGCGATATAAGTCCTTTCTGAATTAAACCTAGTTTATTCTTTCTCGATACAACTTTATAATATACAGAATTTCAACAGTTAATACGTTTGCAATCTCGATAACAAGACACACACTTTATATTACAGTCACTACCGCTTGCTTGACTCAATTATCTGGCTCTGTATCTATCTATCTGTAATTCTATCTCCTCTTTATTTGCCGGGCTTATATACTAAAAAAGAGGGCGTCTGGAACAGACTAGAGTTGCTAGGAAAAGTCATGATCCTTCTAGAAACTCCAGCGTGCATGCTTCCAGCGTCGCGTGACTTCCGCTGTCGTAACAATACATTTACGTTGTCAGTCGTTATTACCCTGAAGTATTGAGCAGTGTGTTATACTTTGTTTACAGTGGGAGCCTCGTTTTAACTTCAGGATGGTTGATTCATGAAATAAGCAAATTGTCCACCATACATACATTTCGCTTCTAATGAGTATGCTTCCATATGCTTTTTGTATATTAATTAAGTCAGGGTATGTTTAACATTCAGAGGTGATTATTTTAAAGACATTCATTATATAGAACAGTACAACTATTTGTAAATATAATAATTTAGAAGTAATATAATGTATTAAAGAAATAATCTAAACTGGAAGTTTATAACCTTACATCTTCAGCATAAATGAAGACTACTTGTTAATTTACTTTGAAAAGGTTCTTGTAAATTAAAATCAAATCAACAGTACGTGCAAATTTTAAAGTTTCTCTTGAGTTACATATATAGAACGTGTATAAGTAATTAGTCTGATAAAGTCTGTTTGTGACTTCATTATTTAACACTTTTCGTGTTGTACAGATTGAATTCTACATAAATGTACCAATTAATAAGTAAAACAGAAATGGACAGACTGCTATATATTTATAAATCTGTGTTACACAGGGTTGGTTGTAGATAAACAGACAGAAAACTAACTATGACAAAATAAGTATCTTCTTACAGGATAGGCTCAGCTGAGAAGATTGAGCTACCTTCTTCATCCCTACAACTGGTAACAGCATGTCAATGTGCCCATTTCTTTGACTTACCCAAGTTCTTTGAAGAGGTGGACAGAGTTCTTGTTCCAAATGGTGTGTTGGCCATCTATGGGTGTAATCTGTCTGCATGGAAAGAAGGCCGTGAGAAAGAAATTACTGAAGTTTTCAAAGAAGTAAGTAGACAACTAACTTTCAAGCTTAAATTCCTCTATTATTAACCAACTCGTTACTTTTATATCACCCATCTGCATCATGAATGTATTGGGTGTTGAATTTTAAATTCATTTTTTGTGCATTAAATGAACATGTAAAGTATATTTCTCTGCAATTTAGGAAGGTTGAGATGTGGGATAAAGTAATGATTGCTATATATCTTGTAATAGACTTTTGTTTCTCGAAATCTTTATAATGGTTAATTTTAATGTTTAGATACTTGAGAGATAAACATTTAAAAGCATGTTTAAATTATTTGTGAAAATAGAAACTCTTATTTTGTTAAACCTTCACTTGATGTGACAGCCTGTATCATGCTTACTATACTAAATAATTCAATTCTTCCATTTCAGAACTTAACAACCTTACGATTATTTTTTTTTCCATTCATTAAGTTTTATTCTGAAAAACAGGTTTGTATTCTAAGTGGAATTAAGAAGTTTTAATTAGAAATCTTATAAAAAAATACCTGTTTAGATTAAAGCTAATAAAACTACTTTTTGACTAAATTAGCAACCATTCCTTTATTTTTTTTACCAACCCCCTAAATACCTTTTAAGAATCTCTCTCTTCATGGAACAAAAACTTTTTCTGAAGCTTTTCTTCATGATAATGTTACGTATCTGCTGGTTTGTTAACTCCCGTATAAATTCTTTCCGAGGAACTTCAGCGATACAAGTCCTTTCTTAACTAAACCAGTTTATTTTTTCCCTCACTAAAACATTTTTTAATACACAGAATTTCCAATCAGTAGGTTAAACTTAACTACTTTTATAACACACGCTATAAATCACAGTGATTCACACACTTTGCTTACGGTGCCTACTGTTCGCTTGACTCAATTATATCTTATTATATCGGATTATATCTTCAATCATGCTCGTTTTTCTCGCCAGGCTTATATACTAAAAAAATGGCGTCTAGCAAACACTCAGACATTCACTAGGTTCCTCAATAATTCGAGAAACTCTAGCGTGCATACTCTCAGAATCACGAGACTTCCGCTGTCGTAACAATAACATACTGTGTAGATTTTGAAAGTACAGTGTTTGAAATAAGAATTACAGATTGTCCACATTTGAATGAACAAGGTAGTTGACTATCGACTAATAAAAATTACAAACGTGGTGTTATGTGTTCCTAAGTCAAATATTGTACTAGAAAACTCGTTAGTTAATAGAAAAACAAGAAGTGATTTTATCAAGAAACTTCATGAGGAAATATAAATCATGATGTATGATGTTACGACAGCGGAAGTCACGCAATGCTGGGAGCATGCACGCTGGAGTTTCTAGAAGGATCATGAATTATCGTGGAACCCCACGAATGTCCGAGTGTTTGCCAGGTGCCCTCTTTTTTAGTATATAAGCCCGGCAAATAAAGCCAGCGAGAGAATAGATAGGTAGATAGATCGAAGAGATCGATTGAAGAGATAGATATAATTGAGTCAAGTGAACAGTAG